CGTCGAATCATACAACCCCCTCCGACACGAATCCCATCTACGCCATCCTCACGAGGCCATCTACTGCTACCGAGCGCGGGCGTGGCCCTCCAACTGGGCGCCCACCGCGTCGGCAGCCGCCTGGCCCCCTACGCCTGGCTCGACAGCGCGACGCCCCTCGTGCTCGACGAGGCCGACGACGACAGAGAGCCCCTCTACTTCTCCGGCGAAATGATCTTCCCCTTCCATCTCGACACCCACCCCGAGCTGCGTCTGCTCAAGCCCGCCGCCGACCTCCTGGCCGCTCACGCCGAGTGGCCCGCGCTGTATGACCTCGACCAGTTGCGCCGCAATGACGTCCCCGTCTACGCTGCCAGCTATGTCGACGACATGTACGTCGACTCACGCATCGCGCGCGAGACGGCTGCCGCCGTTCGCGGGTGCAAGGTCTTCGAGACGAACACCATGTACCACAACGCATTGCGGGCCAAGACGGGCGAGGTCCTCGGGGAGCTGTTCAAGTTGCGGGACAACACGATCGATTAAGTGATTTTGAGTGCATAGTTTTCATGGCAAGCGTGTGTTTTTATTTCGTGGAGAGAGAAGAAAAGCGATATAGTAGAAAGACGATCGGTGACACAAAGACAGTGGACCAACCCACAATGGCTGGCTCCATGATAATCGTCATTGTCCTAATTGTACCAGCTACCCCATTGCCAACGTCTGCGGATCGACCGAACATATAATCATACGTGTCTGCATCCGCGGATTCTAAAGAAAGCATACGAGTCGACGAGTGTCAGTCCAGCTTTCACTACCATACTGTCTAGGTCCCACTAGTCCCATATCGCCGGCCCAGGATGGACCCTGGCATAGGGATACACAACTGTTGCTCCCCCGAACGGCGGAGGGGGCGGCCCCAGTGGCGGCGCAACCTCCATGCTCGGCAGGCTCTGGCCCCCAATGTCTTCCTCCCTCCGCAGGGCCGCTTCCCTGAGCACTAGCGCAGCGACGTCCGGGTGGCCGATGAGGAACTCGCTCGTTTCCTGTGGCGTCCTCTGCCAGAGGAGCGGCTGCAAGAAACCGATTCGCGCAAAGACCATCTTGAGCAGCAGGTCTGACTCAGGAACTCCAGCATATAGCGCGGCGCAGAGACGCAAGACCTCAGGCGTTGCGGCGTCGCCGCCAGCCGTTTCGAGCATGTCGACGCAGCGGCGACGGATGGCAGCCTTGAAGTCGTTCATCAGAAATTTATTGGCGCAGATGTATACCTCAATGCTCAGTGCGTACGTTTGAAACCACGTGCGCATGTCCTCGCCATGGATGCGACCCTGCGCCTTGCTTGCCGCGTCAATGCTATCGCCAGCTGCTGCAGCTGCAGGGTTGGAACCGCGCCGAGCGCCTCCTCGGGCAGGGCCGTCAGCGTTTGCCGCATGAGGAGTCGAGCCTGGAGGTGTAGGGATGAGATGACGGTTCCGTCGGCGGCGTCGGTGTGGCTGGGGTACGGGAGGGCCGGGCATCATCGGTGGCGGAGGCGGCATCATATGAGGGGGCATAGGGCGCGCACGACTGACACCACAGTTCCAGCATGGCGGTCCTGCTGGGGTGATGCACCGGGGACATCGACAGCCTGGGCGATGTGTTTCGGGGTGCTTCTGCTGTGCGTGTTCCCACTGCCTCTCTTGCCGGCGTTGTCGTCGCTGCGCCAGACGACGGCTTCGAGCGGCACTGTTCTCACTAGCAGCGCTTTCTTCCGAATCAGATGAGCTCGAGAGCTCCTCAAACCCACGGACCCCATCATCTCTCTCCTTACCCCCTCCTGTCTCTGATCGCAACACCGAAGCGACAGCTTGGATGGGCACGAAGGTTTGCTGATACAGGAACGCGACGACGAAATGAAAGATGGCAGGGTCTTCTTCGGGAAGATCCATCGACTGTGCGTCAGCTTCTCGGAAGCTTCCACACAATGCCTTCCTGAAATACTCGCTCGTGAGCAAGACGTCTTTGTGGACATGGAATATCGCAATGTCGGGCGCCTGGCCGACCCGAAGCGGAATGATGGGTGAATTATAGCGCCCATCCGAAGACGACAGCCAGAAGTCCTCGCGCAAGTTCGGTGCATCTTTTGCCTTCTTTTCATTGTGCGCGTGCTCGAGAACAACGACATCTGGCGTCGTACTTGTGGGCGCCCTCATTGTATCGTCTAGCGTCCGCTCTGCGCTGGCACCGGCGCTGCTTCCTTCGCCGTTGCGGTTTGGCTGGCTCGACATGACAGTGGAAATCCTCATGAGGTCAACGAAATAGAATCCAAGCCGTCGTGGTAGGTTGGTCTGTTTGGTAAGGACAGGGGCTGTCAAGAAGTCCCGTTTTGGTGTTGCGCCTGTCGAGGGTAAGAGGGATGAACACGCAGAATGCAAAGGGAAAGAAGATTGGGCGCAAAGTCATGGCCAGCAGAGCGATACTTGAGGTAGAAAAGGTCACAGGCAGCCACGCGACCTTGAGACGCATGCCACACCTCAAGAGCCAATTGGCGAGTGGCCGAGGCAGACTTGATGGTGTGCAGTCAGCTGGTGGCTGTAAAACTCCAAGCGGCGGAGTAAGGCCTCGCAGCCATTGACCAGCCGCCCGGTCCGTTCTCCAGGCAGACGAGGCGGACAGACAGACTTTAGTGGATGGGAAAGGCCTGGAATCGACCCTCTTCGCTCTTGATCATGCGCGTAATGTAGTGCAACCATCGCATTCAGAGCTAAGAAAGCTGCCACTGCTGTCGTGTTGTGTAGAGGCCTTTGACGGCCATGCACTTCCTGCGCCTGCGCTGTGCTGCATCGTATCACAGGCGTCGTCACGCAGTGGTCATTCTTGACAGGCCATGATGTGAGGCGGCCTGGCAGCAGCCAACTGGCATTCGTACCTCGTCCGAGCTTTCTGCCCTAGTTTTTGATTTAGGGATCCCATGGCCAAGCTTGCCATGGCATCAACAAGTACTGTCGGCAATCTCACCTTTAGTCCTGATAAGTGCCCCGCACATAAGCAACCTGCGACTCTGTTCCTGGGCGACACTGGTAAGTGCCATCGTCGTCTTCCCAATTTCACCATTCAGTCGCACCATACCCGGTCTGCGCTGACGGGGGAGCAGAGCCTGTTATTAGGCTCAAATCATTGGTGGGTGCAAAAGCATGCATGCACACCGAGAGGCCGGAAATCCGCTTGAAGCCGCCTTGCTCAGGTGGCTGCCAAGAACGGGCTCTGCTGCCGCCTCGTGAATACGTTGGCTGCCTAAGGCGGCCTCACAAAGCACCCCTAGTTCCTCACTCTTCGTAGACGTCGTGTTGCATCTCTATCTCTATTCGAGCGTTAGCTGTAGTAGGGATTTCAGACCGTGTGCTTTTTGCCTACGCCACAATCGGTTGGCCGAATTTGAGATGACTTGGGCCTTGGCCATCATCTTCTCTTCATACTGAGTGCTATCTTGAGCCTTGATTCGCACCTTGCTTGGTTGGGCCTGAGGAGGTCAACACGCGGTTTGCGTTAAGGACGGGGGTTTGTGCACTTGCCTGTAGAAGAATGGGCACCAACTCCCGCGGGTCCGCGTTCGCGACCGCCGCGATACTTCGGTAGCCGCTCTCCCAGAAAATTCGCCTGTTCCCCTATGAGCCAGACAACTACGGAGTCTGCAGGTGCGCCTTCAACTCACGCTGTTCGACTTTTGATAAAGGTTATCTTAGCCAGCGCTAGCAGGTCTGCCCGGGCACCGGCTCTCAGGCGGTCGGAGAAATGGTCGAGCGCTGCGGACATGATCCTGTGAGGCGTATCAGTCAGTGGTTCGATTCGTCTTGAAACCATCTGATGACGGCGAGCTCGTCTTACCCCCATCCCATTTGCTCGCAAAACTTGATCATACCAGCAGCGAAGCCGGTGCATGTTTGGGAGAGCGTCTGCACAGCGCCTCGGTGCACATCATATTTGCGAGCAACAACATGGATCGGCATCTCATTACAGAGGTCTCGTAGTTGTAAGGCCATGTAAAACCTGCGATGCACACGAATTACATCTTGTTCTTCGGGTGTTGATCCCTTAAGCACGCCACCTTGCGCTCTGGAAACACGTTAGCTCGTGGCATGGCTTTGCACACAAGTGCGTACTCACAGCCGGTTGATTACAGCACGCTTGAGGCCTAGGAATCCGAGAACACGATGACCGCTGTCATCAAGCGCCTCCATCTCGTTGCGAAAGACTTGCCAGTTGATGCTTGTGCCGTAGTCCTGGACAGGGGTAAACATGTAGAGAATATGCATCTCACCATCCATAACGAATGCCTTGAGCGCGCGTTGTAGTTCCTTGTGGATAAATGTCCCATCATCAGGGTCCAAAGCTGATGCTACAATGGCCTTGCCCAGTTGTGTCGGACGGAAACCATCCAGACCGTCGACTTCGACGAAGTTGAGAGAGAGAAGATTGTCCAAACTGCTTTGGACACACTTTCGGACGAGTGCGGGATCTCCTGTGCAGGCAAGTAGCGTCTTCGCCGCATAGTCGTCGATTGAGTCGCGACTTGTGGCCAAACGTATGGCGATAACTTCTAGTAACGCTCTGAGCATTGTCAGTATGGGTACACGGTTTTATAGTGGTGACCAACCTCTGAATGCGCTGCTTGTCACTGTTGAGGCCACTCGTGAGCTGTGGCATCTCGGAGTGCATAAGATCCACGACTTGTTCCAGGTCGTCTTTCCTACAACACAGGTACGTTTCGCCGACTTCGTCTTTGCCTTTTCGTCCGGCTCGACCACGCATTTGTCGGAGCATAGAGGGACCGACAAAGTCGCGACCCATTCGCGCATTGTGAAGAATTACACGGCGAGCAGGCCTTATTAATGTTAAGCAATGACTACCACATGTTCGTCTGACGGCAACTTACAAGTTGATCCCGGCAGCAAGACTGCACGTTGCAACACAAACCTTCAGAATGCCATTATCATAAGCATTGGCGATCAGTTCGCGTTCTTCCGTAGTGAGTCCTGCCTACGCAAGGTCAGTAGACGAGCGAGGCACGATGTATTGGAAACTGACATCTGTGAGACCAGTTAGAAGAGTCATGCAGCGCCAAGTTGGTATCGGAACTGACGGTGGAATGCTACTCCTGAAGGTATAGTCTCTTCGAGCGCCGCATCTAGACCGGTGCTCAAGCTCCGCAGTTCGGCAAGCAAGCCGACTCTCTTGTCGAATATGGTGGATCCAACCTCTTCTTGCTGGGGCAACACTCGGGCGATTAGCTTGGCATCCGTCTCACAAGCACCCCGGCTTCCGGCGAAGACCAATGCACCGTATCCTGCTCTAGCGGTTTCGGCCGCTAGAGCTACGACAGAGTTGACTACTGGGTCCTTGAGCTCTCGGTGGACTGATGGCTCTATACGCCTGATAGCCATGGCCTCGGACTGCGTGGGCTGAGAAACATTCTTCAGCTGACTCGCTGTCTTGAGCAACTCGCTCGTGGTGGCAGCAGGGTATACATGGCTTTCGTAGACGAGATGTTCCTCGACGGGTACGGGCCGGTACTTGGTCTCGTAAGAGTGACCCTCGAGCCAGGTCGATAGCAATCTGATATTCTGTGGCGCCAGATCAGTCCTACACCCCTTTTAAGCACAGTACGTGCCGCGGTGACTCACAGAAAGAGTTGCGCTCATGCCGATAACCTGCATCGGCTGAGGAAGGGATATTAATTTGGTAGCCATAAGCTCCATTAGATAGCCACGATGGTCGTCGTCAATCATGTGCAATTCATCCAAAACCACAATCCTGAGGTGCTTGATCGAGCAATCGTCGATAGCCGTGTTGATCATGGCATTTGCCTGTGGCGAGTCAGACCTGGCCTGGACCTGATGCTTGTGTGGTCACTTTACCTTCTCAATAGTGCAAACTCCAATGTCAAAGTCCGCCCAAGTCGACTGTACCTTGCCGCCACCGACGAAGCCAACGACGCGTATAGTATTCTCGTCGGCCCTCCTCCGCCAAAGTCGTTTCGCATCATCTACGGGAGGGGGATCATTCACCTTGGCCAGGCCATCTACTATATTGCGCAACCAACGGACCTTCTCTTGAACGAGAGCAACATAAGGAAGGACCAAGATGGCTTTTGCATCTTTATCTTCGAGAACCCGCTTCAGCATGAGCACGTCTGCCACCAGCGACTTGCCGCCTCCAGTGGGTGCGCTGTAGACGAGGTTCTTCTCACCACTAAGGAGACCGGGGCCGAGTAGACATGCCTTCTGCCAAGGGTAAATACTGTGAATGCCAAGCTTGACGAAGTTATGGATCAGCGGCCGTGGGAGGCCATAGATGGTGTGGGCGAGAGAAAGCAAGGGATTTACGGATGAAGAAGGGGTCGCTTGGATGGTCCGTCGCTGAGAGTACTCAGAGAGCCCTCGGTTCCTATGGAGGGCAGCAGCGAGGGTGGTGATGGGGCTGGCGGAGAGCCGTGGAGAACCAGCCGGTATCCCAACAGAACGTTGCGCTGTTGCCGATCGGCTTGGGATGGTGGGATAAGAGAACCCCGCTGACGGTTCAACGTCCGAATAACTGCGCTTTTGCCCGGGTAGGGTGGCCTTAGAATACGTATGTTTCGTCTCCTGTGCGGCCTGGACCGACGTTTTGTGCCAGATGCCGTTACTAGCCATAGTAAGCAAAGACTGCAGTCAATGTAGTCTCGATGGATTCCAAAACGAAAAGCGACGCTGGGAAGCCACAAGTAAAAACCAAAGATCAAGTAGAGAACCAAACAAAGGAACGGCAGACAGATCGTGGTGACGATCCGACCTCTGATCCAGGCCAGTCAAGAAGCCGCGTCGAGGCACCAGTCAACAGGATATCGAGAGGCCCCACCAGACGCGGTATCACGTGCTCAGGCTCGGCTCTAGCTCGAAGCTAACACCCCTGCCGGGCCCTGATTGCTTGCGCAGGCATAGCGTGTGGCGGTGGCAGGAACAGGCGGGTGCTCTTACATGGGGTGTCTGAAGCGAAGTACATGTAGCTCCGTTGCAGTCGACAGCGGTACATGATCCTGCAGGGGTCGGATCAATAGGTAGGTGGCAGGATGGCAACATGGGAAAGCGCAGAGCCCCACACCCTCACCACAGGACCCTCTTGCCTTCCTGTCCAAAGCTCGCCCTTGCGTACGCCTGTCTCGATTCGCTGATGTTTTTGTTGTCGCCTGTCCATCTCTTTCGCGCATGACACCGCAGGTAGCAAGGGCGGACATCAGACTCAGGGTACGGCATTGCAGCAGCCCAGGATGAATGACAAGGTTTGGAACTCCGTCGCTGCTACCTCTTTTGCGGTGCATCCTGGGTACCTACCTACCTTACCTAAGGTACCTTAAGGTAAATACTGGTGCGCACATTAGCTCTTCAATATGATCACCCAGGCACTTCACCTTGAGGCAGTCAGGTCTTGACGGTAGGTTCCCCCAAACCTGCCTTAGGTGCTTACCAGGGAGGGACAGGGCCAGACCCAGGCAAGAGGAACCCTGGAGATGGGCTTTCCCAGGCCCCATTCGAACTACCTTACCTTACCTAGATGCACTCCGGAGCCTTGCTGCTTTTAGCCTGAGCCGACCCTGAGTTGAGGTTGGTGGCTCAGCATGCACAACCTAGCCACCAACCCTTGCATAAATTTCAACACAAAGTCCGTCGGTTTGGTCATGTTACGGTGAAGGACACGACGTCCTCAGACCCGTGCTCGCCCCGGCCCCTCGCCCGATCGTGCTGGGCTTGCTTGATGGCATGCCGCGCCAGCGTAGGTACCCTTCATAGGACCCAGCGGGTACCAGATTGTGCGACGCCCGCACCGTTTCTCCTACCATCTATCTTTGGTGCCTGAGGTAGACACCATCTCACACTGTGCCGTTTCGCGCCACATTAACTCCCGACGTTTTGACGTGTTGATGCGATCGCGTCTCCTCGGCAAAATCAGGAACGCTGCGAAGCTTCCGGTGACATTTGAATGATGACTCTTATTACTGGGGATGACTCTGTTATGTAACTAAGCCTTTGAAAACTGCCACTAAACGGGCCTAAAAGGGGAGAGTTTTAGTAAGCACTAGGGGTATTTACATATACCCGAAAAGCATATTCGCACGAAGACTGAAATCGCTCATCTTAGCAGCCGCGTCCATCAAAATCTGGTTGCATATCGTCTTTTGTTCACTTCGACCACAACGACGGCATCAACGGCAATCAATCTCGATATCACGCAAAATGACTATCAATGTCATTCTCGGGGCCCAATGGGGTAAGTTTTCCTTGCCTCCCTTGCCTGGAATACATCCTTCCTTTGCGCTTGGCCGATATCGGTTTGCTCTCATGACACTGACGATGACCTCATAGGTGACGAAGGCGTGAGTCCTCGATCCGAACCCGATAGGGAGCGACGTCCGGCCATTAACGATCCTGTGTGTTCAGAAGGGAAAGCTGGTTGACATCCAGGCCCGGGAGGCGCAACTTTGTTGCCGAGCTGCTGTAAGTTTAACGATGGCAACAATTCCGCCAACAGCTCCATGATCCCTTCACAATCGACTATCTCCGGGTGGAATATTTACTAACTACCCCCAAAGGGCGGATCCAATGCAGGTCAGTCTATTTGTCGCGGGGCGGTTTCCTAAAGTAGCCTCAATCGGAGGTCAGCGCTGACTTGCAGGACGATTTCAGGTCACTTAATCAAGTTCGTTGAAAGCTCTCCCTTGATCAATTGATACAGTTGTCATTTGCTAACGAGTCAAAGGGTGGATGGAGTCTCCTACAGGTAATGAACGGGACGACGTCGAAGCTGTGGATGGCTACTGACTTGAACTAGCTTCCACCTCTTGCCCTCCGGCCTCATGAACCCGCGCTGCATGAACTTCATCGGGTCCGGTGTGGTCTTTCATATGTGCGTCATCCCAAGACCTCCGACTGTGGGCCGATGGATTGGCAGATAGGCATCTTATTGATGTCTCGCCTGGTTCGCGCTCCTTAAATGAACAGATCAACAAGACTGACTCGGTCCCTCCAGCCCAACCTTCTTCAGCGAGCTCAAGGAGCTTGAAGAGAGTATGTTGCACCATATCACAATTCTTGGTGCATCAGTATGTCTAACATAGCTCAGAGGGCCTGACCGCGGTGCATGATCGAATCCTTGTTTCTGATAGGGTCAATGTCCTCTTGGACATGCACATGGCAGTCGATGGTCTCGAGGAGCAGGAGCTTGGAGGTTCGTCCCATGGATGCGATGCTCTTTCAAGGAGCAGCAGCTAATGAAAACCTCAGACGCAGCCATCGGAACAACAAGACGCGGTACTGTACCCATAGAACCTCATGCTGCACCTTTGCCCCTTTCCAAGCATTCTCATATATGAACATCACGGCTGGCGATTCCATTGAGGGAACTGGGTCTAACGTCTTCTGTAGGCATTGGTCCATGCTACCAAACAAGCAGGGCGGTAAGAACTTGACTTGACGAGGGATTGCAAAGTGCGCTAACTTTCCCAGCGTAACGGCATCAAACTGACTGACATCTTCCATCCTGAACTTTTCGAGAAGAAGGTGCAGCGCCTCGCTGATGGTTATCAAAAGCGCTTTGGAGATCTCTTCAAGTACGACATCAAAGCCGAGCTTGCTCGTTTTGAAGAATACAGGGAGACGATGAGGAAATACGTCGTGGACGGTGTGGCCTTCATGACATCCGCGCAACAGAGCGACACCAAGATTGTGGTCGAAGGCGCAAACGTAATGTTCTCGCGCCCAACGCTAAACGAACAGTGCTTACTTCAATAGGCACTCATGCTCGATGTCGATTATGGCTCGTACCCAGTAAGTCTGCGACAATTTGGTTGCGCGTTTTGCATCGATGCTTATAATCAATAACAGTTCGTTACCTCGTCAAGTACCACGCTTGCTGGCATCATTGGTGGACTTACCCTTAACCCGAAGAACATTACAGAGACGGTTGGAGTCGTCAAGGCTTGTATGTTGATTGCTCTCAGGCTCTTTTCCCTTGCTGACTAGCCACAGACACTACCCGTGTCGGCTGGGGCGCCTTCAAGACGGAAGATACGGAAGAGTACGTCTTGATTACGTTCCCAAAGCCGTTGCAGGCTAATCGAAAACTTTAGGGTTGGCAACAAACTTCAGGAAATTGGACGCGAATGGGTGAGGCTATGTGCA